AACACAAAGCTGGGCTGAGCATCTGACTCCAGCTCTTTGTCTGACCCTCTTTCACTCCCTACTTCTTGTCCTGATTTAAACATTTCCTGTAATGCACCTGTAGCATCACTTCGGAAGTACCAAATTAACTGACAAAGTGTTGGTTTTGTTTGGTTTTCTTCAAAATAAATTTATACAACACTGTATGGGCTTCTTTCTGTCTTCTTTTTGTGAGCTATAGCAGGAAAAACAATTCTGAACTGTGCAATAAAACCTGACAGCTTGAATGCAGCCACGAAATAAATAATAATAAAAAAACACCCCCCCCCCAAAAATAGCATGAATAATAATGAAAGGGCAGAAACAAGAAAATAATTCAACAGATGTGTGACATTTTTGTTCTTCATTGTGGATCAGTTATTTTTTGTTAATTATATCACCTATTCTTCCCTTTTATTGATAATTACATGAAGCAGATGGATAACAGAATGCTCCCAGATGGTGAGAAAGCAAACAAGTTTATAAATTGTTTATTTATGAAGAAGTCATTAAAAATTATTTAATTATCTGTAGTTTTCTACCCCACCAATAATTACATGCACCGTAAAGGCCAGCAGCGCTTTATAAGATATTTAGTATTCTGTTGTAACCAACTGTTTTTTAACACAACATGACTGAAATGACTGACAGATGTGCAAAACACAATAATAATCTAATCTGTTCTAACACTGTGGGAATTAAGATTTTGAATCTTTGGATCTTCTGCCAATTGGCGCTTCGAAACTGGTTACTGATTCAGAATACAAAAAAATCAAGAGATTTCCTTTTGATTTGGAACAGCTGTAGAGAGTGTTTGATCTAATGAGCAGACAGAAGCTTTTTCAGGTCTGTGTCCTGAAACCCTAGAGCATGGCAGATGTATGGCCTGATGCAATTTTGAGCTAATATGTAGAACCTCTGATACGCTTGCTGCAGAGGCACAGGCTGAACAGGCATCCTGAAGTCTGGGCACTTCCAGGACTAGATGCAAATAATATCGTTAGCATCTGTGCCATTCCAGAGGGCTGCAATGGGAGACAGCGGAGTCTAATGCCTCCCCCTCTGTGCCTTCTCCATCAATCCTTACCTGATTTACCCACATCTCTTCAGTAGAGCAACGGGAGATAGAGTTTTGTAGGAACAGACACACAAAAGCAGCAGCAAAATGTATTTGCTATCTCAAGGGGTATGGTAAAAACATACTCTGTCATTAGTGACTGTTATAGGAAGATACTACTATGTTCATAAGAATTTGCAGCCCTTGAGGAATGGAGAGCCACTGCTAGGGAAGTGACAGGTCTTCCGATGCAGAGATGAAGCAGCAAAGTTGTGGTTTAAGAGAAAGAGTGAAAAAAATTGTGGCTGCCTTAAAACCTATGCAAAGCTTTAATAAAAAGGCCAGACAACAGAGAGGAGGAACAGGTAGAGTTCCTCAACAGGGAGTCATACTCATTTTAATGATAAGCAAAGAGGCAACACAAATCAAAAGCCTGGCTCAAACTAGAAACGATATTGAACCAAGGGAAATACCACAAGGACACAGAGAGAACAGAGTGGCTGGAAAACTGCAGTTAGTCATTCAGGTAATGGTAAATCATGATTTTATATGATACATTTCTGGATTTTAAGAGTAAATCTCTCTACCTTACACCTAGCTCTCCCAGAAAGACTATAGGAAGAAGGACCTATGCATTCTTAGACACCACAACATACAGCTCATGCTGCCTGCTAGAAGCAGGCAGGAATCCACAGTAGGGTGGCACATGGCATTATCCACTTTTTGATTTTTCCAGACACTGCAGTAGAATAGAGAGATTTGACAGAGGGGCAATGAGAAGAAGTTACCACAAACTTAATATCTGGTGCTCATCTAACAACCGATCCAGACCTGCAGGAAAACCACCTCTCCAGCACAGCCGAGATCCATCTGGACTGGCAATGCATGGGCATTAGCTGAGGGCAAAGCTTTTCTGATTTAGATTGCTGCTTTCACTTCTGGCTTTGGAGGAAGAAATGGGAAAGAGTCCTTGTGGGTCCTGGTTGAGTTATCTGTACTGGGTCAATCTTTATGGGTGAATCTCTTCATGCTCACAAGCAGGCTGGAATGTATTAAATTGGTACACAAACTGATCGAGCCCCAGGGCTCCCAGTGTGCCACTAATGGCCTACAGAGATATAAATGTACAAATCAAGAGCTGTACTTAGACACTGAATGGCTGAGCTGCTAAGCCCCAAGCTGTTACTGGTGAAAAATAAATTTTGCAGCAAGAAAAGGAGAGAGATAGCACAAAAAAAGGCTGGAACAAGAGGAAGGCAGCTGAAAAAGCACTAGATGAGAAGCAGATGTTGATGGCTAGATATCAAGGGGCATCTTGTGGGTATCAAAGCAAGAATTTCATTACAATTATCTCCATCATAAGCGATAGATACTCAAGCAATTAATTAGGACAGGCAGTCAAATGAAAATTTTACACTTCTGAAATTGACTTGCATTTACAATCTTGGTATTGTAGTTTATGTGATAAACTCCTGCCATCATTGCAGAGCTCTTTAAAACAAGAATTACAATGATAACCCAGCTTTCAGGGACAAAGTGGGCAGGGGTTAATGTCAGAAATAAGTGCTTTCTAATATGAGAAGGCAAAGCCTCCTCAGCTAAAACAAGCTTGGTGAGCTAGAATAGAGACGTGTGATAAAGAAAAGAGGAGCAGTCTCAACTACTTGAAATCCTTGCTTGCACAAAGCTTTTAAGATTCTGCAAGATCCTGCCCCTATCTTGTTTAAAACCACCATAACAAAGATGATAGCAGACATTTTCTCTTTACTGCTATCCAGGTGCTTGCCTCAGACAACTTCCCACTAATTCCTACTCCAGCCTCTTTGTTTGCCTTTCACTTTTCTCCCTCTCTTCTCCATGCTTTCCTTAGGACATTGTTTTTCCATTTCCCTTTTACCTCACTTCCTGGCCTGCTAGCATCTTCCACAACCAAAACGCATGTCACCTTGTATCACAGTATTTTTTAAGGTGACAATTCTCAGCCCTTCCACTTTGCAGAGTTATCACATTTAACTCCTTGGTGGGATATTTTGCTCTTTGCAACACAGATTGTGTCCTTCTGTTTACAGAGTGTCTGAGCAGGCCTTTTGATCGCTACAAAAAAGTAGAAGTATAATAATTTTGTGCCTACTGAAATTTGATTATATTCATTTCATAAAATACATCTCATTTTACTTGCAACTTAGCTGCAGGATTTTGCAGGGAAGTGCAAGGTTATTGATGGGAATCAATCTTCCTTTCTGAAACATTAGAGTAGAGAGAGGACAAATGCCTTATGCCTGGCTACTACCAGGGCTAACAAAACATCCAAAATCTAAAAGCAGCACCAGCTCCTTACTTTTACGAGTACGCTCAGTCCCCTATGGTAGGTTATCTCTTAAGTTATACAGTTTTCACAACGTATGGTGGTTAAAGGTAATTTCATTCACTCAACAGAAGACTCGGTTTAGCTTTATATAGTTTCAAATTCTTGGTATTTCAGAAAACTACAGGCAGCAGTAGTGGACTAGCTTTATCCTCAAGTTACCACCTAGGGACCAACCACAGATGTCAGTTTTGACAGAACAAAGTCTGTCAAAAAATCTATAATTAATGCCAGTGCATATGCATGGATAACTTATACAGTGGCTAGCCTTAATTTTTTTTTCAGCAAAACTTTGTTAGCAAACATCTCGCACCTTTTATTCAATAGAAATTCATTAAACTTTTGAGATTTTAAACAATTATCTCACTACCTGCAACTCTTAGAAATCCTCAGGAGGAACCTGGGAATGGAGCAGACAACAGATTTGCAAATCTTACAAACATCGGAAGTCTGTGACTTTCCGGCTCCAACAAAAATGCTAAGATAAGTTCTTCTAGTGAGAAAGCAACAGTTCATTTTAAAGATAAAATAGGAAGTAGTTTAAAGAAAAGCATCAGATACTTTATTCTGCAGAGAAGAGGAAGGCAGGGATGTGCGTGTTGAGGGAAGACTGTTCAACAAAGCCAAACTCAGACCAATAGCCTCAGCTATGTTCTGGATTTTGCTTTGCCAACTGCTGCCTAATTAAGAGTTTTGGATGCCAAAAATTACTAACTGTGAAAAGGACAGCACTAAAATATTATATGGGAGCCCATCTCAGCCAACTGGAAGTTAGTAGACAGACATAAAGCTCCCTAATTATGTTTCTTTAGGAAGTCACAGCTACCTACTGAGAGTATCCATTGCTAATGGTGTTTTTCCTAATATTTCAGGTTTGGTAGTTACTCTTGTGAGGAACCATCTTCACATCAAATTTTAGTTACTTAAAAATATAAGACAGAATAAGGTGTAAGTTATTTCACAAATGAAATTTTGAGACTTCTAGTTTAGAACCTTCAGATTGCATGAGTGCTATGCAAATAAGAACTGTTTGGTAATGAAAACAATCTTTTCCTTTGCTGTTAAATCATTCCTGATATTTTTAAGTGTTCTTTCAGGGTATCTTGTGCATGGAAGAAACCTGACTTTGGGACTGAAAAATAAAATTTACTTAAGCAGTTTCTACAGAAATAGTCAGAAGCATGACATTGTATTTTTTCCACTTGCAGAGCATAATACTTAAACAAATTTGCCAGGAAGAAGGGCTGAACAGTAAGTCAGAGCATTTAAAATGTGTTGTGAGTTTGAAAATAAGGTCATGAAAAAATACTGTTACAATGTAAGCATTTAGTATGTAAATGTTATAGTTCAGTGATTGCTCTTTGTAATGTGTTTGAAACTCAAGCTTAGAAGAAGTGATGGTTGTGCAGAAGCAAAGTTGGGATTGTAAGGGTATGGACACCATGTTTAGTGTAATTAAGAAGCAACCTATCAACACTAAGATGGTAATGCCATCCCATCTGCCAAACCCTGCATTAGCTGGCGCTATGCCTCTTGCCTGCTGCTGCTTCTGTTACCCACCTGATCCTTGGAGACCTGCTCTGATGGAGCGTTTATGCCAAGCTCTTCCAGAGGATAGACAATCTGTCGTCTTGGTCGCACGGGAACCATGTAATGAAGGGCAGATGTCAGGGAATGGGCACAGGGATTCTGAAACTGAAAGACAGCAATCTATATTTCAGCAGAGAGAATGTCAGAACAGTGCATCACAGATGTCTGTTGTATGGCTTTGCAAATACAAAATTCTTAGCTCTGTTGGCTAAATCTGAGAGAAAAATCAGCAAATAAACAAACATACTCAGAGCAGAGGAATGAATTGCAGATAATTCCTGACACTAATGAAGATAATTATGAGAGTAATTACATTACTATCTCTGTGGGAATGACAGATAAACAAGTGGTTTGGTTTATGGGATTTTTCAGCACAAGTATTTTCCCCAGGAGGATATTTTTCTCCGTAGCGATCATGAATCAGCTTGATTTGACCTCATTAAGCTATGTTATCTGCTTACTGCTAACCTTTGCTTGTTTGGCAAAGAACGGTTATGAATTTATATAGAAATTCTATACCAACTAAAATGTCAATTTCATCCAAGTGATAAATGTTAATAAACTGGCATAAACTTGAAGTGAACAAAACCCCTAATGCTAATGTGAATAGCATAGATCATTAGAAATAGCTGTGTTCCATTTATTGTAGCTTGACTGGCTCTGTCATAATTTACAACATGAAAGGGGAAAAAAATAATTAAGAGAATTACAGGAAATAGAGAATGAACATTAATGCAAACTAAATTGCACTGAAGTACAGTTCCATCCATAAATATTGAAAAAACTTGATGTTACTATGTTGAAAACTGAGTAAAATATCACATTTACCACTTATTAGAAAGCAATGATAAGCTGAAGTAACTTAAAGGAACTCTGTAGCCTGGAAGTAGGCCAAACTGGAATCATTAGTAAGATTCAACTTTTCTCTTCTCTCCACTGCCATTAAACTGCATTTTTGTAAGTGCCTCTTAAGAACCTGAGAACCTAATGCTATGCAAGGACATTGGTTCCTCAAGAGAACACTTAAAAAACTCCACAAATGCACACAGGAAAAAACATCCTTCTGAAAATGTACCTATGTCTAACCTGTCAAAGTTCCGATGTTAAAAAGAGTGGTGATTTCAAAAACACCCAAGTCACTGAGGACAGAATTCATCTCAGTCACCATCTAAAAGCCAGGTGCTTACTTTAGCTAGCCATGCAGACACCCCCCAGAGTTAGAGAGATGAGCATCTCCAGAGAGCAATTCTTTCTGTCCTAAGATAGGCAGTTATGATCGATGGATGAACTGCCCTCTGGATGCACCGTGTTTTCTCCATTAACGCTGGCAGGAGCCTAGGTGATTAGGCTGGGCCAGATAGTAGCTTTAGATAGCTACACATCAATGACTTGACATGTTTGAAAATTTTACCTTGTGTTCCCTTTTCTGACATGAGACTGATGACAAGACACACACATGAGTATTTTTGAAAGAATCTTTTATTTTGCTTCCACAAATTACATTCTTCTCGGAAATGGATTTTCCCACACAGCGTTAGGTTCTTATGGTTCTCCTGTGGCACTTGCAGAAACACAAGACACATTTTCAATGACAATGAGGTGCCTAGGTCCCGCTCACTTCTGATGAAACACAGTCTAGAGTACCTAAATCACTTCTGAAGAGTTCTTATTAACCACCTTGATGTGTTTCTAATATTATCCCATTGCATTTACTTATGCTACATTATGCCCAGCAACATCATTCCTTTTTTCTTCCCCGCCCTCCACTTTGTCCTGAATCTAAACAAATACTGGTATCTCTCAAAATTAATTATGCAGCTGAGTGGAGGTATGTGGGACAGTACAACTTGATCAGGTTATTAAACTATGACAGGAAATACAAATCGTTGTTAAATATAAAGACAGAATATGTGCTTTATATGTTGTCATTTAAAACCTGATTGGTAACTGATTTTGCAAGTGATAAAGGTATACCAGGTGTATTAGCATGTTAAAAACAATTAAATAGAAACTATTATGTTGGTGTCCTCAGTTGATGAGTTGTGAGTTTCTTGTTTCTTCACCTATACATCCAACACAAGGGCAAGAAACAAAGTCAAACCCAAACTACAGCTTACAACTCAGACACAGACTCCTAACATAGGCAGGAGTGGGAATACTGGATGCTTCCTACTTCATCCTAGAACCAATCTATTGGGAACGGGCAGGAAAGGGCAGACACGGGCAGAAATGTGACTATCAGTACTAAAGCACATTTATGGAGGGGGCTGACACAATGCACGAGGCGAGAGCAATACACGAACCTATTTGGGTAAGAAGCAGATATACTTCTTCCAGAAACAAGTGAGGAGGTAGCAAACAAATTATTCCTCTGCTGTGCTGCTCCCAGGGAAACATACTACTGTGTGTAACTTAAGACATCTAACTACATTTAGAGAACAGTTGCCCTAGGATCCTCTAAATTAAATTGAGAAACAGAGATTTGCAAAGAGTGAATCAGCTCAGAAGGAGCCACCCCCTAGGAAGAGGTTCTCTCCCTTCACAGACTAGGCAAAGAGCCAAGGCCAAGTACACTTCAAATTCCTGCTCCTCCACGTGCTTCCTAAAGACACTGGGCAGGTCTGGACTCCCATGCACTACTGAGCATGCTACGGACTAGCCCTACTATGCAACAGCTATGTCCATGAGTGCAGATTATATCATGCAAGAAGAAAAGAAAGTACAATTTGCTGCAGGTTGCTAAGAAAATTCCTGTTTACAGTCATTCACAGAAGCAAAGAGAAAAATAAAGCGAGCAAAGGTGACAATATTTAATATAAGAAATACAAATAACTTTCTCCTTACCTTGCCTTCCACATACTGTGGATAAATAGGATAGTAAAGAGAAGATTTGCGGGCCAAGCGAAGAATCTCCTTTAGAAAGTGTTTTGTATAGTGATGAAATATAGGATTCAAGACAAAGTGGTAAAGATGTCCATGCTCTTCTTGCTGGTGGTGATTAAAATGAATAAAATCTTCAATGTTGTAATGTGATCGAATGTACTCAATATCCTAGAAAATAAGAATTTGGAAATCAGCAGTGATGAAACAGCTACATTTACAATATTTTAGCAAGTGCCAACAAGATGCTTTCTGTCAATTAAGGAACTAAATTTGAACACTGAAATTAAGTGCCTTTAAGAGTTCTTCTCAATTAAAGCACACTGACTGAACACATTTTTCTTGAAAGTCTTTTCATTGTATCAGAATCTATTCTTGCAGCTCGCCCACCTTCATTTACAGGGAATGCATGTTTGAGCCTTTCACAACAATGTCTGATACAGGTTAATAGACATTCATGGAGAAAAAAAAAAAACCCAAACAACTCTGTTTTGCTGAGTTCAGGACAGAGAAGCCTAAACTGTCCTTTCACAAAACTTAAACTGAAAAAGGGGAATTTTACAGAAAAAAGCTGTGTAAGAAATGCCCTCCAACAAGTCTTCCGTGTTGAAGTGATAAGCTGAGATTTTTGCACATTTATACACTCAAGAGAAATTGCTATATCCTCTTATCTCAATGCTCTTAATATAATTAAGAGCTATTTTTGAAAATAGGAGTGACTACTCTATTTTGAAAACTGAGCATTGCAGCTGCTGAACATTCTAAAATCTGCCTTTTCAGTCATGCCACAAAGTAAGCCTTAAAGCATTTTTACCTTTCAAGAATAATGTGCAACATAGTCTTTTTTTTGTACTCCACTAGAGTACGTGCTTTTTATTTGTTTTGAAGTTAAGTGTGTGATTCATAAACATTCAGAATCTACTGTTGGAGAAAAAAGTTAAGAAAGCAAATCTAGAAAGACAACAACTACTCTTTGCAGTACGCATGGCAAAACTGCGTATTGACTTTGGAAATCAGGGGGCAAAATAGGCGATTATAAACATATCTAGAGGCAAAATGGCTTTGTACTAAAGAACCAAAAAGAGGTGTAGGAGGCATACTTCCAGAACGCATCAGCAGCTTCTTGCAAATCACAGGATGATTTTTTTTTTTCATCTGTGTGTCAATCATCATATATGAGAAGGGAAATAATAGAGTCTACACAGTCAGGAAAGAGAGAAAGAAAGTTTATAGAGGCAGTATCTTTTAAATATACTTTCTGTTAGGTACATGTATAGTGGCAAGCACAAAACTCAGCCTTTAGTGTTGAGGGCTAAGCGTTACAGTTTTCATACAACACAGAAATAGAATTTACCATTTCATCTCTGATGACAGAAACACCAACTATTTGATCCAAAGCTTCTGCTATGAAAGCCTGTACTGGGATCCCATCCTGCAAGGCAAAAGCAACATACGCATGTTTCCTATTTCATTAGTAACCTTCCTTTTTAATTGTAACTGTGTATTTCACCACACAACCACAGTTAAAATACTTTCCTCCCAGTATACATTCTACACACTACCCCAATTTAACCACTCTTCCTTAACTCAAGGCATAATGTTTAAACAATGTTCATGGCTGGACTCGACCATGCAGAAGTTTACTAACTAAAGTTCCAATTAGGACCTAGCTGCTACCGGAGTGCTATAAGCTCAGCCACTAATTTAGTTGTGGGTTAAGTTCTGATCTTAAGAAAGAATATTAATTAAAACAGATATTCTCCATCAATAGTTGTATAAAATGGATTTCCCTCCAGCTGTATGATTGGTAATGATAGTGCTTGGGTTTTTGTTTAAGCAGCATTTTCTGTCACACAACAATAATGCAGATGTTCCCAGGCATATGTCTGGCCACATTATAGGAAGGAGAAAGAGACCCCCATCATGTGACAAAACACAAGTACATATTCATCACACAACCAGATGTGTGTGCAAGAAAAAGCAACAATGCAAATCAGGCTCTGGGTGGCCAAAAAATGCATCCAGCGTTCTTCTGTCCCTGCATTTGAAAAATATCCAAAGAAGAGGGTAGTTGGTATAGGCCACAGGTTAGATTAACTATCAAGTCAGGCTGAATACAGTGTATACTGACTGTTGATACTAACTTGAGTACCTATATATTATATATAGTATACTAGTTTAGAGTAATGTAGTAAATTCTGGATGTTTATACCAGTATTTACCCATTCTTTTGTAAGTATACTTGCAACAAATACTCACTGGATCCCTGCGAGCCAGAGTAAATATTTTTAAGTCATTCAATATACTTTCATTCAAGCTAAGGGTTTTAATGAGCATTTTGACACCAAGTAGGTCATTGGTTGTTGCCCTTCTTACACTAAACGACCTATAAGAAAAAAGGAAAAAAGAGAGCAAAAATTCACTCTGTGACAAATTAAAGACCATTCCCATGCTTAAGACAACATGCCTTCCACAAGCACCGAACACATCTTTCACAAGTTGAAATTGATTCCTATATGACTATTGTTCCAAATGTATATATTAATTTATTGCGTGATAACATAAAAGATCACGCAACATCTACTTAAGAGAACTCAAAAATCCTTCTTTAACTGTTACTAAACACTCGGTCTTTCTGTACCTACAGCCCAATCCCTCAAAGCAATGACTAACTATGACCACAGATATCACCTAATCTTCATGTGAATAAGAGCCAGCAGAGAAAGGAGGCAAAGAACCTTTTAAAATTGAAGTAGAATACATAACTGCACACTGACACACATGGGGAAAAAAGAAAGAAATAGAGAAAGATAAGAAAAGTAGAAAAAAGGAGAGAGAAAAAAATAAAACAGAGCCAACTGTCATCCTTGGATATGATACAAAAGAAAGGCAGTAACATCAGTTTCTCCAACAAGAACAAATTACTAACATTTGTGTTAGGCCTTGGTTCTTTAAATACTAATGAGGATAAACTGACATGAATAAAATACCTCTGATAAACATAAGATGGACAGTTAGTAATCACACAACAGTGACATGGTATAAAAATGTCTGTGCGATATGTACAGCCAGCAACATGTTAGCTACAGACAGGAATATCCTGGCACTTACCTAGTTTACACACTCTGTTACAAAACATCCTCCCACCCACTAATTATGAAAAAAAATTATTTCATAGTGACAGTCTATAGCAGCTGAGGAACTCTCTTGTGTTGTCTGTTAAAAGCATTGACCCTTCCTGGTTAAACAAGGCTCATACAATAAAGACTTACAGACTGCTGTTCAAGGAACTGAATTACAATTTAATTTCCAAGAATTAAGTTCCTTCACCCACAGGTAAAAAACTTGACGTTCATGTAGTATAACTTCCATTCTTGTTCTTCTTGTTTTCAATTTAAACTTGCATGTGATATTCTTCAGCCTAAGTCACAGTCACATTGAGATTGACTTTGTGGACCATGGTTTTAATGACTAGCACTAGTACCTTAAAAAAAACCAAACCTACCAAGTATCTGATATGTTATGGGAAATTTCACAGCTCAATCTCATTGATAATTTTCAACTTGATTATTTGAGTGCTCAAAAGCATACATTTGATTACTAAATTACAAACTAATCCTGAGTTTCTAAGTGAGCATCAGCTTAGTTTCCATACTTGTTAACTCATTTCCACAGACAGTTAATTGCAAGATCAAACAAGTGATGAGGATGATGGTCAGCAAGACCAACAATATGGTTCACTCCACAACCCATGAGCATGCTATCTTTCTGCTACTCCACTGAGCCCAGCACGTGAGTTTTTCTTCCCACCCATGTCCAAGAGAAGGCAGTTGTGTCAATAATGAACTATATTTTTAATATGATGAAAAACAGAACATGCAAAAATTTGAAACTGTTTCCTAAAACAATAAACAAAACCACTAGATCCACTGTGAGTATGAAATAGTAGGAAGGACTATCCAAGGTCTGTGCTCATTTCTCTTCCAGCAATGAATTAACTCATTCTAGATGCCCGATTCCTTTGACTGCTCAGAGACCAGGATGCTATTATTATTATTATGCTTTTTAGTGAAAATTGAGGGAAAGTATCCATTAAGCATTTCAGCCTATGCCTTGTCATCTGTTATTTTTTTCCTCCTTCACTGTTAAGTAGCAGACCTGTACTTCCATTTGCTGCACTCTTGCTTTTTGTGTACTTAACACTTTTTCTTATTCCTTTTACAATCTTTACTAATCAGTATCTCATTTTGTGCCTGTGCCCCTTCTGATTTTGCCCTTTCATGTCTTCATACACCCATCTTCTTACCCCTGTTTTTCTTTTAATCCATTTTCTGTGACTTCCTTTTTACTTACATGCCTTTCGAAAGCCCTTGATGCAAGTACAATATATTGATCTTTTAGTTTTTCATATTTTAGTTTTACCTAAGACAGTATCTGCTGTTGTGCATTGCATTTTTTGTTCTTCAGAAACTTTCCAAAAGCTTCATCAGGCTTATTCCATAGCTTTTCTGATCCTGAACCTCAATAAAAAGCTATTTTTCCTTACTTTCCTGCACAGCTGCAGGGGGGTTTGGAAAATATGACTAACGACCCTATTCTGTTTTCATGGAAGGGCTGGTATCATTTGGAATATGCACAATTTAATCAGAATTGCAAGGTGTCTTGTTCGGGGTTTTTTTGTTTGTGGTTTGGGTTTTTTTTAATTTATTTTTTTAAAAACTTTGATAACAAGTTTAATTTTGACCAAAATCACAAGAGGACATATGACTACCAATCCTACTGGTGGATTACTGAACAGCTGTGACTGAGATTAACAGAAATTACTCCAATGGCTTTCTCTTCAGCCAGCTGGATTCTTACATAGTACACAGAAGCCCAATTTCATTCATGGTAAAAAGCTTCTGCACAGGTCCAAGAGTAGCTGGCCAGTTTCTGCATGAGCTATTTGTATACCACCAAAGGTGGTTAAGTATGCAATTAAAATGAAAGTATTTTTCTAAAACCACACAGTATTTAGCTACATTAAGACAAAAGTAAAGGAAAATCTCTGACTGTGCCACAACTTCAGCTTGGTATTTGGGCCAGTATAGGTTTATTATCCAAACAAAGCATTGGAAAACTCACACCATGTAACAAAAGTCATAGCAAGAGAGGTTTTGTGTCCCAGTTCACCAGTATTTCAGACTACAGAAGCATTCAGAGTATCACGGAAATTGAAAGGTATGAAATAAATGATTCAACACAAAAAATAAGAGAAAAATTATATAAAATAGATACTCAACAATGAGGCTACTGCTGTGTTCTGCATGTTCCAGAAATGCATTACTGCATTTCTCGTTACACAATGTTTCCAAGAATTAAATCTAGACCAGGCCTTCAAGTACCAATGTTACGCAACCTGACCCAAGTCCGAAGGGCACCATGTTTCTCTATTGGCCTTGGTCCACAACAAGGTAACTTGGAAGAAGCTACTTGTCCATACCAATGTTCATCTTCATTAAGTTAGTACTGTATATACAAACTTTAAATGAATCCTCTCACTGCACTTTGGTTTTACTTAAAGGAAACTATATATAAATGCTAGCAGTCAGAAGACTGCTTGCTTTTACATTTTTAATTTTTAATCTCATTTTTTGTTTCATTAAAAATCATGTCACTAACTACTACTTTATTTCACTGAAAATATAAAGCTATTTCCACATTGTCTAGTATAGAGCTGTGTGGAGATACATCAGAATAGGGTTAGGATTCACTCCAGAACAGGAAGCAAGACAGCTGCAGTAATGCTGCTAAAGACTAAGTTATTTAGCTCTGCTCCTAATTGCTCCAGGCACAGTCCTGTGCTATTCAACCATACTGTTTTGGGGACTCAAGCTACCATTTTTGCAAGATGTTGCGCCATACTGTGCAGAACACCAGCTTGGTCTGTGATAGCAAAGGAATACTCATCTGGTGCTAGGTTGGCTGGTGCAAGTATATTCCATAAATGTAGTTCAGAGTACATCATTTGTGTCATGAGGCACACTCACTTGAGCAATCCTGCACGGTGGAACACATAAAGCTCCTCACCAAGTTTGGAAGTATAGAGAGGGACAACCCGAACAAAACTCTGGATCAGGTGGAACTCTGGTACATGATGTGGTACGAGGATGACACAGAAGTCTTTGTCCTGAAAGATTTGTAGACAATAAAGGCTTAGTGATCTCAATGTAAGCTTTACACAAAAGCTTCAGACTAGAGCAGATAGAACGAAAACAAACTGAATGTAATGCTTACAATGTACTCCAAGTATTGCTTTACCTAGATGGCTTAATAGCTAGGCAGCACAAAGGACTGATGAGCTGAACATTAAGTTGGCTCACAGAAATGGGTCTTTTAGCTCCCACAGTAAAGACTTATTATTTAATACCCTGATATTCCCTAACAGTCCTTTTTTTCCACACACACTCTCCTCCCCATCTTTTCTTCCTCAGTAGAATACTTCAGTTGGAAGGGTCCAACAATGATCACCTAGTCCAACTGCCTAGTAGGAACATTATCTCTATGCCCACACCTTTAGGGCCAACATTTTCCCTTAAAAGGTCCTTTTTTTCTACCTTACTATTCTTCTGCAGTGAAATTTCAGGACAATGTACGTCTGTCTGTCTGGGATCTTTTGCAAGTCTGCAGCCAAGTGAGACCACCAACTAGAGCACTATGTCCTAACGTCCTGAACAAGCACCCAGTGTGTACGCATAGATTGTCTTTGCACTGCATGCACAGTAGACTTAATGAATGCAAGTTTGTACATACACAGTGATGTCCAGCTTGTCCCAAATTTGCCACTGCTGGCGTGCATGCGCTATAGGTGCATATGCCTACAAAGACATGCTGTATTGGCAGTCAATGTTATTGTTCAGAGAACCTGTGCTGTAAAGGCTGCAGAGGTGCAAAGGAATGCAGGAATCTCCACTGAATGCTCTCAGATGAAAGAGAGCATCCTCTGGAGATGAAACTGCATGCCACAGATAACTTCATCCATTCAAACTGTTCAAGCACCCCCTTCCACCAGAGTCTCTCCCGTCTCTTTTTATTGAACATATGCTTTAAGATAATCTCACTGCACACAGGGACATTGGAGAACTCTGACAATTCATAAAGATGCTTCATGCAGCATGATAGATGCTGAAAGACTCCCAGGTAGCACAGATCTGGAAGACGTTTAATTGGTTTACTCTGGCTTATTATTCTATGGCATTTTTTCAGTAGAAAGATATTTGAATCTTGTTCCTTATCTTTAAGCACACTACGTGATTAATTTTTTTTACTACACCTGGTGATTCCATCATGACATTTTGTTTCAAGGAGTGACAGGTGCATTGCTGGATAGATAAACTACTTAAGAGATATGAAATGTTTTCTGTGTTCACTTTCTCTGGGAACTTTCTTCGGTGGTAAGCAGCATTTCTGAACATGCTGATATTTAGGGCCAAGGGTGTATCTGTGGTCACCAGGACCTGTCTCTAAAGGATGCTACCATGCAGTAATTTTAGTGTGAATTTACAACTCACTGTAGTGTGTGTTAAGAATGTCTCAGAAAGTGTATTTTGTTACCTCAGATAAAGATTGATCACACAGAGCATTAGTGTGAAATAGCTACTGCACTGTAAATTTACATCTTTATTTGCTGCAAGTTAGCTTTGCCCTAAACATAAACCCTTGGTGCCACTGTTTAGGCTATAGGTAAATACTCTGGATTTCCTTAGTAGTGCTGTTTTCTAGGCTTTAACTCTTCTACTTTAATGTATTTTCCCTGATTTTATTTTTAATTTAGGTACAGTCTGGATCTATACATGATTTAAAGGAGTTTGAAACATATGCTTTCTAAATCTGCATCTCAGAAAAGTCCCTATGGAACATAAACAAATGACGTCCCAAAGCAGCCAAGGAGAGGAGTCAAACTCCTCAGGGTAACTCAGCCCAGGGCAACTAGCCATAGCATACTCCTGTGAGTCACTGACTTACTCTGGCATCATATCTAAATACGCTGGCTGACAACTGCACTACCATCCCATCATACATACATATCAATACAAACTTCAAAACTTTAATTGTACATACTGGAAACAGCTTGAAAACATAGTGCAAAAAATCCAGCGATCTGCAACCAAGAGTAAACATTGTTAAATAAAGCATGTATCAGAGATCCTATACATTTCAATATTTACATCCCCTTAAGTGCAAGGAACATTTATTCACAGCGCTAATCAGACAGTCCTGCTAGTTCATCATTAATCAACTGCAGATATTGCATGCTGCACATCAGTTGTTGACTTCTACTGCTTAAAGCATCACTATTAACAAGAATAAACCTGAATGCTTGAAATAATATTAAAAGATCAGGCTCTTCACTGAAGGAAAAAAAAAAAAATTACTCTCATGTCGTTGACTCCAACATTTTTCAGAAGTCATTCATGGACATTCTGGACATGTCAGAGCAGCATTAGTATACAGCAAACATTAACTGAGGTTACAAAGCATTGTTGCTGTATTCCACAAGATTTTCATCCAATACCAAGAGTTCTGTCAGTATCTACTTGGCAAACCTATCCGATGTACTTTATCAGACAAACAGGAACATCAATACTTTGAAATTGTTTTTGAACACTTTACTTCTTTCCACTTCTCACCTACTGGTTTAGAGTAATTCCACTCTCTTTTCCATAGTGACAGTGAAATGTGACATTTGAGTTTAAAAAGACATGAGAAATCTAACAAATTCTTCCTGTTTCTCCTAAGTGTCAGGATATCAAAGAGCTCTTAAACCCATCAGAGTTATGCTGAAGCTTTATAAAATATTTTTCTACTGTACAAAATGTGTCTTTTTGAAGAAATTCAATACAGATATATATACCTAAATATATTGATAAAACCCCTTCTCCCTCCAGACCTATAATTAAGTTCCCTTTAAATACTTCACCAATAATATTACTGAATGAAAAGACAAATAATTTCTAATTAAAATATCTATGATTGAATGAAAACTTAAAAAAAAAAAAGCTGTACATACAGATCTGGATTGGGGTATTATATATTCACCTATATAATACATAATTATAGCTAGTTAATAGAATAGCTAAATGGGGGGAAGGAAAATGCCATTGCAGTGCACAGTTTTTTATTCTCTGGTATCCAGTACCTTCTTGGCAGCAAGGCACACAAGAATGGAGGTAGGAGATTTTTCAGGGGGCTTAAAAAGGTATGAAATACCTGCAGATAAACTAGCAATCTCATTCCTTCACATTTCACTTTCAATGCACTAATAAGCCAGGTAACAGCTGTACATTTCAGAGATGGAAACATTTAGCAACTTCACTGGGTAACACAAATTCCCAGTAGTAAACTTCCCTTGAGGGCTAAGATGCAATCATACCTACACTTCAACCAAACTACTATTTCTGGATCCACGCTGTGCAGCGTCAGCAGTAACTCCTTCAGGACAAGATTTGGAGATACAGTCAGTATTACTTCATGCCATCCTTTCAACATATTTGCTTTTCTAATGTTTCTTTTACAAACAGTTGGATCAAGCAAACGCAAGCTAGGGAAACATACAAGCAAAATATTTGAAAACACCAAGATCTACAGATTCCTCAGCTCTGAGAGGAGGATCTTGCATGAGTTAATCTTAGGAGAAGTCTTCAGAAAGGAATGCTATCTTCTCCACAGATACCCATCTTAGAATCCAGACTGTTCCAGAGATGTCTCCAGGGAACAAGGAATGGGACTGCAATGTTGAATGATAACCAGGGTGAAAATATCTTGAACAGAAACAACAACGGTGCATATGAAGGACAGAATGTTAGAAGGGGGCAAAAAAGTGACAGATCCTTATCCTAAGCAGGATACTATGAGCAGAGAACTTAACTAGTCTACAGAGAGGTTATTTCCCCACATAGGTACAGATCACTGCTTTGAATTGCTGTTTCACTATGATGGAGTCATTCTAGAGCAAGTCCCTCACCTCAGTATTATTTTAAAATAAAGTTATTTTATTCCAGAATAATTATCTTGCTTGAATTTTATTTTAGACTAGATTGTCTATAAATAAACTGTTCTGAAATGGACTCTCTGCAATGTGATTGTTCTATCGCATGTACATTGATCAGTGTTTCTAAGTACACCACAGATTTTTAGCACTGCATTTCTCTCTCTTCCTAATGAATTTGAGCTATTATTACTTGGTAAATATGTACCAAGAAGGCTATATGTTTGCTTTTCTTTGGTAACGTAGGATATTTGCATCTGTAGCAGATTCAGTGTTTATCCCTTTGGGTAGGGCCCCTCCTTAATCAAGAAACAGCTTAATAAACAGAATTAGTTTTCAAGGAGTTCTGATTTTTCTTCTTAATGAAGTTTATTCCTAAATTTCCTTTAAGCCAGATAAGTTCAGAAGTTGTCAGTCACCAATTATTACTACTACAAGTAGAAAGATGTTTTTTCAAATGGTACTACAGTTGTCAAATTCATCATCTATAAAGTCCTTGCTACTGATACCTTGTGTCTCTAGAAATTACATGTATATAAAACTGTGGAAGATCTTGGGTGTGCTAAGCCTCTTTATATCTACTTTTTGTAAGTATCTACATGTTTTATCTTTCTTTCTAGGACCTATAAACAAGAGCAGGGCTCATTTATAATCAGAATGGGCCAATGTTCCTAAAGATGCTTTTGCTGATATGGTTGAGTATAGGTTCGCTCTTAAAGGGTGCAGAGAGATTTGGGGAAAAAAAATGTCTAAACCACATTTATAGATCTATTCTACTCCACCAGGATCTAAGAGTCCAAGGTCAGCAGCAGCAATCATTTTAAGATAAAAAGCCTTTGTCTTCCCCCTACTGTAGTGGATTCTAGAAAACCGCATCAGTTCTCTCAGTGATGGGAGACTTGAGTGTTTAGAAATGAGAACATTTAACTGCAGAGTTAAAAACAGCTTTATCGCCCCATGAAATGAGATGACCAGT